TAGTTTATTGAACATTTCCTATTGTTAGGTCAAAGATCAATGCTCAAAATATAGTACTGATTAAGGCATTACAGTTTTAAAAATTCTTATAGCTGTATGTCCATCTTATGAAGCACAAACATTGACTCAAATTATACTCCAATGCCGACAACATCGTCCAAAAGGTACCATTCATAATTCTCATAATGCTTTCAATTTTGAATTACTGAGCATTTATCTAACAAGTCTCCTGTATGAGGAAGAATTTATCATTTATCATTAATTAAATAAGAGAAACTTGAATAAATGCAGTGAAAGGAGCATTCTAATAATGAAATACAAACATTTATTCTTAAAATTAGAGAGATGCAGGGGCTAATTAGTTTACCCCCCATTTCCCCCATAAGTAATAATATAGATAAACGTACCTTTAGTGCACCGATACGTTGGTTTTACTATGGCTGCCATGCCTCCTTTGGTTAAGATCACTAATCCAGTGCTTTCCTGTATGGAAGCAATAGATTAATGTGCGCAAGTGCTGTGCTACACCAATCATCATCTCTTTGCTAAATGTTGGATTTGCTAAGGTTACAGGACTGCAACAAGGAAGCACTCTCTAGTGTCTGAAAAAAAGGTAGTGTTTACACTACAGTGTCTTCAGTCCTAGTACCACTACATTTAAGGGACACTCCAGACTCCTTGAGCATTTAAGCTTTCTGAAGTGCTTTATTTGTGTTTTGTTTTTACAAACAAATACAGATTTCAAAAGAAATTGGCTCTTTTGTAAATGAAACTTCTTACACTCCTTTGACTGTCTATTAGACAAGCCGTCCTTTTACTTCTGGTTGCTTAGCTTGGTGGAGCTAAGCTCAAAAGGCAGCAATTTCTCAGATCACCTGCCCTGTAAAGACTTCTCACTGAGCTGCATTAGGAAGTCTGTGATTGGACAGCCACAGAACGTCTGGGCAGGGTTAGAAGGGTAGGGCTTCAAAGACTTCAGACGAGAGAATTGCAACTTTTTGTTTTTAAATATACCCTAAGAGAAAAAGAAAAATTAAATGCATGCATATTTACAATCAAGTTTATTTATTAAACAGTAGTGGTTCTGGTGCCTAGAGTGTCCATCAATGCTCTGGGAAGACTTATTCACTTATAGTTTTAAATTACCTTTGGTAGCAGTTCAAGTGAAAGAGTTGCATCCTATTGTTCAGTCTCACATAAATACATTTTCATTCCAAAGAATGGTATAAAACCGTTCCGTGTTTATAACACATGTAAAGATGTAATGTTCTTATTAGATATCCTGCTAGGTGCCTTTCAACTTCCCTTAGGAAGTGGGACAGAAAGTTATTACTCATGAATGCTCTTTAAGATGCTTACATGTTTAATGCTGTTAACATAACAAACCTTTAAGCTAACTGTGTTAGTGTTGTATTAAAATGCACAGTTTCAAAAACTCCCTTGTAGACACAGGATAATTTGATTTGGAGGCATTTGAAGAACGTGAGAGTTATCACACCTCCAGTGTGTGTAACCTCTATATTGCATACTGTGCACAGTTAATTAGGAAATAGGAAATTACTACTTTACCTATTTGTTTAAAGGGTGCAAAAAAGGGTGGCTGACAAAAAACAGCTAGTCACAACTCAGGTGCTGATGGGATGCTCTTTCATATCCACATTTCAAGTAAGCCATTAAAGAAGCACTATACTATTATGAATGCAAAGCTGTATTCCTAACTCTATATTGTCTCTTTGCCCCATCTGCCACCGTGCCCCACCTCCTCAGCTAAGAAAAGGTTAAAAAAACAGCATTTTTTCACCTACTGACGTTCCTCTGTACTGGCTGAGTCTCTGCATCCCTTGACATCATCGTAAGGGGGAACCTAGTGCACATGTGAGGCAAGCACCATACGAACTTTAGGCCTTCCCAATAGGACAACATTTGAAGAAACTGGAGCAGGGAAGGGTGCTCTGTAGGAACAGTGCAGTCCTAGAGTAGTCTTGAATGTAGGTGTCAGAGGTGCGAGTATGAACACAGAATATACGCAGATCTTCAGCAAAGTGTAGGGGCCTGTATGGGACATACATGTGTATTAACGAGGATAGGAAGGTAATAATTATGTATAATCATTACATTAAAAACATTCCAAAAGAAGGAGCTGTCTTAAAAGAAAAATATATCAAAACATTTAATATTATTCAGCCACTCACATACTCCCAATGTTATCCTAAAGTGAATGGACAGAGTTCCTCAACTTCACATAATATAAATATTACCAGTGAATAATCTTTCCCTAAAATGACCTCCACTTTGATAAAAATGCTTGTGGATTTTCAGAGTTCAAAATTGTAGTGATAAGAGGCTTGATATATAACTTATATTGAAAAGCTATATTCTGAATGTGTGATTTAGATGTACCAGATTCCTACCTATCTTCCAGAAACTGTATGTTTTATGTTTAAATTATGCATTTTTAAGAATGCTGTGTAAAATAAATTAGATGTTGATATATGTAATCTGAATCCTGGTTTCAAGAAACCAAAGAATATATATGAAGTCTGTCACGGCAAGGGTGCATAATTCATTGTTGCACTATGGAATATTGTCATTTATTGTAGTTTGTGAAGTGCATAGATGAACTGACTGCATGTTAGAGGTGGTATTGTCAATTCCAAAAGGGGTTAATTTGATTGTATGGGAGGGCAGAAGGTTCAGAGCCTAGATTTCTCTTTGAAGCTGGGACCCCAACAGAGCTACTCTGTAATCTGTGAAAAGTCACACATACGTGGCCTAGAAGTCTGGGTTAAATATAAACTAACTTGCGAATTTGCCTTATGTCTAGATTCCCTCTTAGATGGGGGTCCTTTGATATGTTAATGGCCATTAGTCTTGCGTTCCAGTATCATATTCAAAAGAAACATTAATACTTACCCACAGATCAATAATTAAGCCTCATTTTTATTATATTTAGAAAGGGGCAAGCACAATCTTCTATTCAAGCCTAAACATGATTTGCAAAACTTAACCATAGGGGAAGGGATTGTGATGTCCGCTATATTGGGTCACAAAAAAGGAGTGTGACATATCTATGGAATGGAAAAATGGTAACACATTCATAGATGTAATTATTATTTCTGTGGCAAGTACATAAGAGGAGATAGAACCAAATGTTTCAATTTGGATTGATGTTGGTCTGGAACAAAATTCAGTTGTCAGTAAGGTACACCTTATCTCCACCTCTGGGTGAGGCTTGGTAATCCACAGGGTACATATCTAATGATACTGGTGTGTATTGTAGTTGCTTGGGGCCAGAATCTAATTGTGAGTGAGTCACCATCTTCCTTGCCAGAGGTTTGCAGAAGTTTTACTTTGAAAACCTGAGTAAGTGCTTAGGACTTCTGTTATTTTATCCCTTTTGTTTTTATCTGTTGTTGGTGTAAATAATTTGTTCTTTTTTTTGTATGCACTGTGACTATTTTTTGCTCATAATAAATATTCCTCTAATAAGTTCTGCCTTTGTCTAGTTAAGAATCACGTTACCTGAAAAGACTAATTAGTGTTTTGCAATTGCTTAAATATTGTTCTAAGTTGTATTTGGTGTTTTTTTTTTTTTATTATTAAGTTACCTGGGGGACCAAGGGCACATCATTTGTAAATTGTCTTGGTGGTGGCAGCATTAAAATAGTAATATTATTATTTTTATGGTTAAGTGTGGGTGGTGTTAATGGGATTCTTATCATTATTTCCGGTCTAGCATAGAAAAATAGTGAACGTTAACCTTTTCATCACCACAACTACATCACGCACACTCTTGGAGTAGGGTGGGTTAGTGACAAAGGCAATTTAAATTTACTTAACAAAAGCTCCAGTCAGAAAGACCACACATGGTTATCATCAGGGCTGGCGTTACTGCCAGGCCAATTAGGCAGATGGCACATCGGCTTGGAGAACACAATCTCTGGGTGACCGGCAGGAGGGGAATGCACAGCATAGCGCTACCCTCCTACTGGACACTGTATGTAGCGTGGATGAGCTGCAGACCATGGCAAAGGGACTTACAGAAGTGCTGGAGAGACAAAGAGTCACACAGAGGACTTGGGGGACAAAGAGACACACAAAAGGTCTGGGGGAGATGAAGAGACAGACAAAAGACTGCATGGAACCAAGAGACATACAGAGGGGCTGAGGAGACAAAGAGACACATAGAAGTGCTGATGGGGGGGATAAAGAAACACACAGAATGCTGGGGCCAGGACAAAGAGACACACAAAGGGACTGGAGGAAAAATAGACACACATGAGTTGCAGGAGAAAGAGACCCACAAAAGAGATACACAAAGGCTCTGGGGGTGGGGGGGTGAAAGAGTCATACAAAGGGGCTGGGGGAAGAAACAAAACACACAAAATTAGCAATTTTTGTTTTTGGTGGGGGGTGCAATTAGCTGGTCTTGCACCAGCCCTGTATATCATAAAATGTAAAAAAGGATGCATTAACTGAAGCATTGATTAATGGTCCCAGCAAACAGAAAGATTAAGAAGTATTATGTATGGAATTAGTATTTCATTGCAGGGAGATAGTTTTCCCTCATGACTAACATTAGCAGATTGTTCGTTACACAACTTTTTGTAAATTGTTACCGCTAATTCTTTGTATCAGTATTGTTATAATACATAATTCTGCCTTTTAATATAACTCTAAAACAGAAGCTTGGCATTCATTATAATTAGCAAAACATATGGAAGATCCTGTTAATCCTGGAAACAGATAAATATGAGATTAAGTGCACATCTCTACACTAATCTCTGCTTTAGAGAACACAAAACTGTCATTTGAATAGAAGTCATGGTGTTAAAATTGAAAACCATTAAAAATTTCCTTGAAATTTACTTTAACAAATTACCAGCCAGATAAATGAGCACTATTGTGTTAGCATGTTTAATACTGTATTATGAAATAAACTTTGTAGAATAAAAAAAGAAAAAATCAAAACATTTTGTTAAAGGATATTAATTAAATCATGGTCATGTAAAAATAGATATTACTTTTGTGATGTAGAAAATTTTAAGATTGATGTCAACAAACCTAAAAAATTAAACAATCATGTCAAATTAGTGTGCGTGTGTGTGTGTGTGTGTGTGTGTGTGTGTACACAGATTGCAAAATCCATGATTGTTGATTTTCAAAAAATGTATATATTCTGCATTTGACATGAATTAAAAAGATAATCATCATAGATGAAATGGTTTGCAATTATATGCTAGTTATAGCACTTGATATAAGCACTGCACCTCGGTGACAGAACTATTATAGGCGCAGGGGTGATAACTGCGACCGGCAGGGGGCATGGCTGCCCTGGCGAACACTGCTAATTCCTGCATGCACACAGTGGTGCTCCATCTGTCAGGAAGCTGGCTGGCTATTCTCCAAGACAGGCTAAGAACCTTTTTACTCGAACAGCAGATTCACATTCTGTAACTGTAGAGAGATGTCATCTTCTTGATCTCCCTCGAGCACCTGGCAGTAATGCTGGAAGCCTCGTTTATGACTTTACTCCAGCCCCAGCATCACTAAACAGCACGTGAGGGAGCAGAGAGGAAGATCAAGAAGATTAAAGCTGCCAAAAGACCCCAGGGACACAACCCATTGGACTCCAGGGAGAAGATAACCCCCATTAGCTCTCTCAAAGGTAGTGATCCTCAAAAAAAGCAATAGGGGCCTTTCCATAATTCTTGCACCAGGGACCTGTGTTTCCTAGTTATGCCCCTGCTTCTCAGAATACCTGAAAGTATCTGATATGTAAAATACCATATTTAGCAAGGAAATAAAGTGCTCTTCTCTGGCAAGATGCTCAATTAATAGCTCTGGATATTTATACCAATGGGATTTTTCTCAACATTTATCACATCACCATGCATTTTGTCTTTATAAATATGACTGTAAGTATTTCCTCTCATAACACAAATGAACATTTTTCTAATTTGCCAAAATGTGTGGCTCAAATACAAAGGTGCTGTTTAAAAAAAAAAAAAAAAACTTGAGTAACTCACTTGCACAAGATCATTCTCTTTTTGTTATCCAGATATACCATTTTAAAAGACATCACTTAACAAACAACTAGTAGTATATGATCAATGCAAGATGATGGCCTTTTCATTCCAGAAATACAGTTGTGCTCAAAAGTTTGCATACCCTTAAAGAATTGGTAATATGTGTACCATTTTTATAGAAAACATGAGTGAGCAGGCAAAACACATTTCTTTTATTTCTCATGGGATTCACATTCAACTGTAGGTTATAAAAGAATGGCACAATCATAAAACAAAACATGGCAACAAAGAAAAAAATTAAATGACCCCTGTTCCAAAGTCTGAATACCCTTAGTTCTTAGTACTGTGTATTGAACCCTTTAGCATCAATGACATTGTGCAGTCTTTTGTAATAGTTGTCTATGAGGCCCCTAATTCTTGCAGTTGGTATAGCTGCTCAGTGCATCTACGTGAGAGCTAACAAACTCAGTGACTATTTATACACAGACTCTAATTGCAATTCACAAATATTTGAGTGTCTCCTTGACTCTGTTCTTATTCTAGATTTGTACCTAGCATACACTGATAATGTACCTGGCATGTCTAAATTAATAAAGGTGGTTTATGGTTATTTATAGAAAAAATGTTTTAGCATTTATTTTGTGGAAGAAAAGGGATTGTGCTTTGAATGGGCAGTTTATGACATGTAAATTTGTACCTATTTCATACACGGTGTGCTATTTTTACCATTATTTAGACGTACCACTGGGAATGGTTCAATACTAATAGATGCTCATGACGTATCATTTTTTATAACAAAACAGGTTTTCAATCGATCAAAATGATAAACTGCAATCTCACACATATATAAGCCAATAATAGAATTTTGTGGAATTAGAAAAAAAATATTTTCTGTACAACAGTGTTTCTTCAATCATATTTACACATATTCAGCAGATCATGATTCAGACATCTTGTTGGAAATGTAACTAGCTACAAGCTGGCAAAAAATAAAAACAGTGAACTCAATAAAGTCACAGTGAAATTTCATTACATATATTATTATGGGTTAAAATTGTTAGCAGGTGTCAGTCCTTTCTGAGAGATATTGGCTATGTTTAATGATGTCAATAGACTAAGCCTGAAGCAAAGAGACTTGCCTAGAGATGCACTCTGATTGGTTGGCTTTACAAATAAGAGTGTGGATCAAGGTCACTCAGTTCGAAGGACATATAAAGTAAATGCTGTATATCTTTGTACTGTACAAGTGGAACATTAACAATAAGTAAGAAAATGTAAAAAGAAACGGTTGCAATGTAATATATAATCTACAGTTCAATCTTACAGATAAATTTTATTTACTAAAAAACTTGAGAACCCTCTTGCAAAGTAAAAATGCTAAAATAATTTTACCACATGACTGGAGGCTTCATATTTGCATAACTCTCTTTACTGAAACTTCCATCAGCACAGATCATAAGAGAACAACCAATCAAAAAACACTTCAATGTTATACAAAAGGACCTGTCACACGCATCACTTCCTCTTTCTTTGCTGCTCCAGCACGCAGGTCAGAGTATTTTATCCTTGTGACTGTTTACTTGTTTGAGTAATTCTGAATTCTCTGTAATGATTCATAGGTTTTATTCTCACATCGTGTGTTATTCCACTTTTAAACAAAGGGTGCTGTATTTGTATTATATAGGTATTTACCCTGCCTTTCTTAGAAGCTTGTCCCCACTACCTTTCTGCTAATACATGTTTCCCCTTTTGGACTTGCTTTTCTCAACCCTCCTTGGGGCCTGCGCTCTCTATCCCTTCTCTCCTGGAGCCTGGGACTGTCCTGGCCCCCTGCCCCTCGCACGGACATCGGCCATCGGCTAGCTGCAGGTGTGTTGGTGGTGGGGGCACTCAGCGCAATTCTACTACGACCGGTGGGCCTTCAAAACTGGGTTGCGTCGATCGTTGCTCGCATGGTGGCCATCTTGAATCTCGCAAGTACCGCTAGATTCACGTTGGCCATTTCTTTTTTCCTTTCAGATCAGTATTATTGTGATCTGAACAAAATATACTTACCTTCAAGCTGTATCTGAGGCTGCGCACTCACCACAGGGGACTGCAGTGTTGATTTCTCATCCACAGTTAAGGTACCTACAACAAGTGATTACAAATACATGCTGGGCTGATACATGTTGTTTGTTGACAACAGAATGACATACACTAAAGTGTAATTGCTATGTGGGAATATATTGAGCTTAACAGCCTTATACACTGTGCCATCCCACTGGAAACTGCAGTGCTGATTTCTCATCCACAGTTAAGGTACCTACTACAAGTGACTACAAATGCGTGCTGGACTGATACATGCTGTTTGCTGATACAACATAAATTGACATTCACTGAGGTGTAATTGCTATATGGGATAATGTTGGGCTTAACAGTCATACACAATGTGCCTTTTTGATTACATTAGTTGCCAAATGTGGGTGTCCTCTGGTTCCCATTGCACACCACCTGGCATGAGCCCCCAGATATCCTCACAGGTGTTTTGCTCATTCCCTACAGGGATATCCCACAACCTTTATGTTGTCTGGAGATACATTATCACACCATGCAGAACTATCACACATTCTGTGTAAACCTGTTTTATTGCTGACCATGGAGGTACAACTTTGACGTGGGTGAACCCTTTGAAGATACGTTACCTTGGCAACAATTACGAGGTTCTGAGACTAGCACGTCTCCCATTCACTTAAGGGAAACCCTCTTTCATACACCTAGAAGGTGAGCATCTCTTCATGGCACTATCATTGTAGTCGGGTATACTGTGAAGCAGATCCCTGGGTGAGCCCCAGTTGTACTAGGAGCCTGGCACTTTGCATGCGTCTCCACTTATCTTGCTCCCACTGATAGTCACTGTCCTCTTACAGGCAGACCGACCCCTACGAGTGACACACCTCCACCAACGCAAGGCTTTCAGGCCATGATTAACCCCTTAAGGACCAAACTTCTGGAATAAAAGGGAATCATGACATGTCACACGTCATGTGTCCTTAAGGGGTTAACGCCGCTGATGCGGCCTCAGTTGAAAGCTAAAGTCCTCACAAGACAAGCTATTGAAGCTACTAGGCCAATTGGCTATGATACTATTCTTTGTGGATCTGGCCCTCTCACCGAGCACGCAGTAACGGCCGACAATATTTGGACCAACACCGGAAGGGACTTTCCAATTGTTGCATCCTGCTCTGCATGTACAACATCTTGGCGGTCCAATACTTCAACTGCCTGGGCGGAGTTAGATCCTTGACAGAGATGGCTAAAGATATATACAAATTTTGCCTCACTCATGATATCACACTACAGGCAGAGTACCTCCTGGGGATCAACAACCTCACGGCGGACTTGTCTCCACACCACTGGCGAGACATCAGCGATTGGCGCCTAGATGTCTCAACTTTATGCACACCGATGGACCTCAGGGGGCTGCTACATGTGGTCCTGTTTGCATCCAGAACAAACCAACAACTCCAGAGGTTCTTCAGCTGGCTGCTGGATCTGGATTGTGAAGCAGTGGATATTTTCCTGCAAATTTGGCCTGAAGAGGGAGCCTATGCCTTCCCACCAATCTCAACGCTGACGCGGGTGGTCCACATACGCCTTCACGGAGTGTCTCTCCACCTAATCACTCCCCTTTGGCAGAGTCAAGCGTGGTTCGTGAACTTTCTGGTACTGCCTCATGTGGGATTCATGGGCACCAGGCACCAGACGATGCTACATGTCTGCTTGGAACATGTGTAGTTGGTGTTTGGAGAGGGGCTCAGATCCCTTTACAGCACCTTTTACTTCCATCCGGAAGTATATGTCACATCTTTTCTCTATGGGTCGCTCTTACCAGTCGATTAACGTTCAGCTATTTCAATGGCTCATGTTTCCCTTCAAGGCATTCCGGAGGGGCAGGTCCCATGGGTCTGTCATCTTCTGAAGGGCATCAAGTTGTCAAGTTGGCATTCCCCACCTAAATATCCTTGTCTCTGGGACGTAGATTTAGGGCTGCATTTTTCTTCAAGACTGACCAGATAATTTGTGCTTATCACTGAAACTTGCCACATCTCCTTCAGACACATTTCGGATGTTCTGGCCT